TGACGGGATGGTCGAGCGTCTGCATCGTACCATCACGTCTATGTTGTCGCACCTGGTTTCGGAGTCACAGACCAATTGGGACTTGCAAATTTAAGGGGTCCTGGCAGCATATCGATTGGCCCCCCATGCTGCCACGGGATTTTCACCCTTCTTTCTCATGTATGGTCGCGAACATGACCCACCTGTTCGGGCACAGCTGCAGATCCCCGCGCCTCTAGGTAAAATTAAATTGGACGAGCACGTTAAATTTAACCTTCAAAAGCTAACTGAGGCGCGGGATGCTGCCATGCTCAATTCCCGCATGCGCCAAAAGGCGAATGAGCGCCTCAGACTTGCGCGCGCGCACGTGCTGCAGTGGAAGCCAGGGGACAGGGCATGGCTGCACTGTCCCCAGGTACCGCTTGCGACCTCCTCGAAACTGGTACGGCCATGGCGGGGCCCCGTCGAGGTGGTCGAGGTTTTGCGACCGCAGTGCGTTCGTATCAAGTGGGGGAGGCGCCGGTGGTTCGTTCACCCCTCTAGACTAAAACCCTTCGTTGCGGTGCGGGACTCTGCTCCACACGCGCAGGGCCAAGCATGTGAGGGGTCGACCGACCCGGAGGGTCCGCCTCTGTTGATCTCACCTGACGTCTTGCCGGTTGCCCCGCCCCCAGGTTCTCCCGGAATGACGGGCCCGCGCACATCCCTCACGGGGGATGCCGAGGGTCCCGCCACTCCAATTGCGGACTCGCCTCGGATGGGACAGCGGCCACCGAATGGTCCGCCATCTGAGGTTGGCCCTTGTGACGGGCCTGCGGCAAGGACGCGCGCTAAAATGCGCAGACTCTTATAAAAACACTGGAACGCGAACAAGAAGTGAAAACGAAACGAAAATAAGAAGAAAATTTTTTTTTTTTTTTTTTTGCGTTTTCTGGTACACTTTCGTGTGCTATTGTTGCTGGACGCTGCGTTCGTGTGGCGCTCTTGGCGCGTTGTTGTATTATGGCTGTGTGTGTGTGTGCGTCTTGTGTGCGTGTTGTGCGTGCGCTGAGGGTTCCGGGAAATGTACATATCTTGCCTCTACGGATTTCGTATTTATTCGGGGGGGGGGGCGCGTCGGTTTGTTCTCCCTTTAGGGGCATTGTTAGTGTTGTTGTTTAATTCTCGTTCTGTTAAATGGAAAAAAAATGGGGCACACACGGGGGGAGTCAAGGGGTAAAGATTCATTTGTTGAAATTGTTGCAGCCGGGACGGCTGCGAGCTATGCGGGGGGGAGTGATGTAGGGACGTTGGAGAGAGGGCCGTTATGCATGGCAGCCTATGGGAAAGAAACACAGTGGGCGGGGCTACGTGTGTGCACAGGGAGATGCCCTCTGCGACGTCCGAGCCAGACACCCTGGGGGGGGGCTGGTTCGGCGTTACGATCCCCCGGGGCCCCACCCCTCAAGGAGGGTTGGGTATAAAAAGGGGTCGTTATATGGGCTGAGTCAGTTATGTTATAGTTAAGCTAAGAAGTCGGAAGACGTCGTAGCTAGAGCCCTGGACTCCCCCTGATCGCCGCCCTTATCAGGGCCCCACGGGATCAGGCTCGAGCCAGTGGCGTGGTCCCGTGAACCAGAGCCAGTGCTCTGGGACTCCGGGTACCGAGCCCGATTACCAGTGTCGGGCCAGACAGCCTCCCCTAGCTCTTAGTGGAGGACTCAGGGGATAGGCTATGGATAGCTAGGGGTGTTCCCTGAGTTATACGGGTGAGGGGGCCGCTACCCCCTCTAGGGCTGTCCTGTACTGGCAACTTGTTAAATAAATATACGTGTGCCTCAACTCCGTTGTCAAGCGTCCTCGACGGGTACTTCACCTACGAGGGGTAAAGATATTTTTTGAGGGGGGGGGGAGACCACAATTTTCGGAAACATTTTGACATCAACTATTTACCCCACACTTTCTACAACTTTTTGGACTTGTGAAAGCCTCTTATATATTTGTTGGTGGAAAAATGTACAAACAGCCCACCGGGCTTTGACAATACCTTAGTATCTGTGTATATATATGTAAGGTTTTTAAGAAAGATATTTTTCACCCGGGCAAAGCCGGGTACTTCCGCTAGTAACATATAAAATAATGTTTAAAATTTATTTTTTTATGATAGAATATATTGTCATCAGTATGACATAAGTATACCAAGTTTGCAGTCGATACCACATTTGGAAGTGGGTAAATATTGAGTTACAAGATTTGAGGATACGACAACAACGACAACAAGCATGTAAAATTGGAATCATCGAGAGTATTCTATATGTATAAAGCGCTCTACCAGCATTTACCGTTATACACCTTTTTCATGTGTAGTACCCCAGTAAATACCCTGTAATGGGGTAATTTGTATGGGGGTAGGGTAAAGGCAGGCTCGTTGCTTTTTACCGTTAACCTTACTTTGCTGAGACCTAGGCTCAACCCCGCAGGGTCCGGGCCCAGCAGGGGCTCAGCCCCCTTCTATAACGAGGGGAGAGGATGGGCTATGCAAGATCCCATTGTGGGGACCCCTCCCCTTGGTGCGTGTCGGTAGCCGAGGGGGCATAGAAGCGCAGTACAACAATGGGATGTGCCGCGAAGCCTTCTGCCGCTCACCACGGCGCCCTACAGCAGCCATCGTGGTGGTGGTTGGTGGGTGGATGTTCTACGTTGTTATGGCGAGGTGGAATCCATCTCGTGGGACGTCCATCCCGTGGATATTCAACGACAAAATTGTACTGATGTTATCGACCCCCACCCGCTAAGATAAATGATTGGCGAAGTGGAGCCCGGAGCAGGAGTTGAACTTGAACCTTGCGAGTGGGGCGCCTGGCTCACGCGAGACGATGGACAGCGACTGGCGAATCCCAGCGCGTGGAGGCGACCACTCCCATGTGGGCGCATCGCTCCTCCTGCTGCTGCTGCTCCCGCTGCTCCTACTGCTGCTGCTTCCCCTGCTGCTGCTCTCGCTGCTCCTGCTCCCCCACCGCCTCTGCCCGCCCAGCAAAATCTGCAGTGTTCGTGGTGGTGCTGGGGTGGAGGGGTAGAGTGTGGGCACCCCCACCACTCACAAACCACGCCTCTGTGTGCGTGGAGGTGAAGTTTGACCATACTTCACCACGCCGGTCACTGCGGCTTGCTGAAGGGTCCCAGAGGACGGGAGCGCTTATACACAAAACGGTGCCAGCTGCAATGACGATGATTATCACCAAACACAACCACGCTGTGGACGACGAAACACCAGACGGAGTCACGGGACAGCGCTAGAGTTGACACGCGGCCGGATTGAGCCGCCTCTCGCCAGTGGGTGGGTGCCGTGGGGGTCGTGGGTGCCGTGGGTGCCGTGGGGGTCGTGGGTGTCGTGGGTGCCGTGGGTGCCGTGGGGACCCTGGGGGTCGTAGGTGCCGTGGGTGCCGTGGGGGTCGTGGGAGCCGTGTGTCCCGTGTGTCCCCAGCTCACTCGCTCAGTGATCGCAGTGCGTGTTGCTGTTACCCGCCCGACTCGCAGCTCAGCGGGTCGCAAGTCGCTCCGCGCTATCGCCAAAGCAAATCTGCTCAGCGGAGCGAGAAGAGCAAAACAACCACCATTGAGCATTCACACAAAGATACCCCGTGTAGCCTTCACAGATCGCTGGGGCAAGTGCTGGCAGCGAGCACACACGGAGGCGGAAGCGGCACACGAGGGGGTGGGTGGCAGGGACCACGCCCGGACAGTTCCTATGATCACTGTTTCATTGCTTTCATGGCTTTCATGGCTTTATTTTGGTGATTTCGAAAAGTGTTTTGGTTTAGTCATGTTTGTTTGTTGTAGTACAGAGTTAGACTGATGGCCTTAATCTAAGTTGTCTTGTGGTTGTTGTTGGTTGTTTGACTTGCATCCCACTGGGATGTTTGCACACAGCGTTGGTGTACGGTGTTTTTTTCTGCAATATTTCGCTGTCTTTTCTAGGATTTTCTGTTTGCACTCAGTCACATGTTCACTTTAAGATGTTTTTTTGCTCATGTTTTTGTTTGTTGCGGCTGCACCCGATTCAAGAGCCGAATGGCTCACAGGGCTTTACCTAATAAATGAACTTGAACTTGAACGCCTTTGTCTCCCTACTGGCGATGTTTACTGCGCATCGCACCGGGTTCTCATTTGAGGCTGAGTCGACCCAGGGGAGGCCCAGGATCGGTTCAGATAATCGTTACTTATGTTGGCCGTGAAAGGGAATCGAACTCGGTCGCCAGGTTCATAGCGCAGTGGGCTAACCACTACACTACCGCTCCCCACTACTACACACACTAACAATGTCATCCATATTCTTAGGTTTTTTCGGTAAAGTCACGTAGGTAAAACATTTTTAATTAAAAAAAGTTTAATAAAAATAAAATACAAATCACGACGTTTTGGAGGCAACACAAGCTTCCGTCTTCAGGTAGAACCGTCACAGCACGATAGCTGATACAGCACGATAGCTGATACAGCACGATAGCTGATACAGCACGATAGCTGATACAGCCGTGGGGTTAGTGGGGGTTGTGTGGTTGTGGGGGGCCGTGGGGGTAGTGTGGTTATGGGGGGCCGTGGGGGTAGTGGGGGTTGTGTGGTTGTGGGGGGCCGTGGGGGTAGTGGGGGTTGTGTGGTTGTGGGGGGGCCGTGGGGGTAGTGGGGATTGTGTGGTTGTTGCGGGCCGTGAGGGTAGTGGGGGTTATACAGGTTGCTAACAGGTCGGGGCGGATTCCGCACCTTTAAAAGCCATAACTCACACGAGAGTGGTGAAACAAACTTATCTTACACGCATCGCTCACAGCGGATGTAAATATTGTTTTATGAAATCTGTATATTGCAAACATTGGCTTATATGTAAAAGCATTGGTGTGGGAAAAACAATTATTCATATATTTACTATGAGAAAAAATCGGTGTAAAAGACTTGTACCTTTATTTCGGGATATGGTGATCGTTCTCGACCCATTACATTAGGCCATCAAAATATATATATATATATTTTACAAAGAACATCGAGACTTGTCTGTCAATCTCTTGGTCCACACCGCCCTGAAGCCAACGAGGGCTCCCAGCCGGTCGCTACTCCCTGGCCGGGGAGAAAAGTTCCAAGCGAGAGCGGTGGAGGGACCAGGCCCACCAGGGGCTCGACTAGGCCTCGGCAAGGTAAGGTAATTTACCCTTTTTACCGGGTAAAAGGGTAAAGGTAGAGGTGTCGACATGCCAAGGGGTAAGGTAAAGGGTAGGGTAAAGGTAGGTCGGAAGAATTACCCAGTAGGGTAAACGTAGCGCGAAGTATTACCTGGTAAATACGGTACCTTGTTTACCGCTAGAAACTCCGTGGCGCAGTCCGTGGCCTCCATTTAATAAGTAATATATTTTTTTTAAAACACACTTTTATGAAATGTACGAGTAATGGCAGAACTCCACGACTCCAGGAAGTGGCCCCCAGAAGCTTGCCACAACGTAAGGGGACCGTGATGATTTACAGCCAACGTCAGTTTACCGTGGACAATTAGACCCAAGCCGAAACATAACATAAAAAATAATGTTTAAAAATACGTTTTTTATGATAGAATATGCTATTTTTATCAGTATGACATACGTATACCAAGTTTGCAGTCGATACCACATTGGCAATTGGGTTAAAATTGAGTTACAAGATTTGAGGATACGACAACGACAACAATAAGCGTGTAAAATTGGAATCATCGAGAGTATTCTATATGTATAAAGCGCTCTACCAGCATTTACCGTTATAAACCTTTTTCATGTGTAGTACCCCAGTAAATACCCTGTAATGGGGTAATTTGTATGGGGGTAGGGTAAAGGCAGGCTCGTTGCTTTTTACCGTTTACCTTACTTTGCTGAGACCTAGGCTCAACCCCGCAGGGTCCGGGCCCAGCAGGGGCTCAGCCCCCTTCTATAACGAGGGGAGAGGATGGGCTATGCAAGATCCCATTGTGGGGACCCCTCCCCTTGGTGCGTGTCGGTAGCCGAGGGGGCATAGAAGCGCAGTACAACAATGGGATGTTGTGCCGCGAAGCCTTCTGCTGCTCACCACGGCGCCCTACAGCAGCCATCGTGGTGGTGGTTGGTGGGTGGATGTTCTACGTTGTTATGGCGAGGTGGAATCCATCTCGTGGGACGTCCATCCCGTGGATATCAACGACAAAATTGTACTGATTTTATCGACCCCCACCCGCTAAGATAAATGATTGGCGAAGTGGAGCCCGGAGCAGGAGTTGAACTTGAGCCTTGCGAGTGGGGCGCCTGGCTCACGCGAGACGATGGACAGCGACTGGCGAATCCCAGCGCGTGGAGGCGACCACTCCCGTGTGGGCGCATCGCTCCTCCTGCTGCTGCTCCTCCTGGTGCTGCTGCTCCTGCTGCTCCTCCTGGTGCTGCTGCTCCTGCTGCTCCTACTGCTGCTGCTCCCCCTGCTGCTGCTCTCGCTGCTCCTGCTCCCCCACCGCCTCTGCCCGCCCAGCAAAATCTGCAGTGTTCGTGGTGGTGCTGGGGTGGAGGGGTAGAGTGTGGGCACCCCCACCACTCACAAACCACGCCTCTGTGTGCGTGGAGGTGAAGTTTGACCATACTTCACCACGCCGGTCACTGCGGCTTGCTGAAGGGTCCCAGAGGACGGGGCGCTTATACACAAAACGGTGCCAGCTGCAATGACGATGATTATCACCAAACACAACCACGCTGTGGACGACGAAACACCAGACGGAGTCACGGGACAGCGCTAGAGTTGACACGCGGCCACCAGTGGGTGGGTGCCGTGGGTGCCGTGGGTGCCGTGGGTGCCGTGGGGGTCGTGGGTGCCGTGGGTGCCGTGGGGGTCGTGGGTGCCGTGGGCGTCGTGGGTGCCGTGGGTGCCGTGGGTGCCGTGGGGGTCGTGGGTGCCGTGGGTGCCGTGGGTGCCGTGGGGGTCGTGGGGGTCGTGGGTGCCGTGGGTGCCGTGGGTGCCGTGGGGGTCGTGGGTGCCGTGGGTGCCGTGGGGGTCGTGGGGGTCGTGGGTGCCGTGGGGGTCGTGGGTGCCGTGGGTGCCGTTGTTGTCGTGGGGGTCGTGGTAGCCGTGTGTCCCCAGCTCACTCGCTCAGTGATCGCAGTACGTGTTGCTGTTACCCGCAGGACTCGCAGCTCAGCAGGTCGCTATTTCTCCGCGCTATCGCCAAAGCAAATCTGCTCAACGGGGTGAGAAGAGCAAAACAACCACCATTGACCACTAACACAAAGTTAACCCGTGTAGCCTTCACAGATCGCTGGGGCAAGTGCTGGCAGCGAGCACACACGGAGGCGGCAGCGGCACACGAGGGGTGGGTGGCCGGCACCACACCCGGACGCCTTCGTCTCCCTACTGGCGATGTTTACTGCGCATCGCACCGGGTTCTCATTTGAGGCTGAGTCGACTCAGGGGAGGCACAGGATCGGATCAGATAATCGTCACTGATGTTGGCCGTGAAAGGGAATAGAACTCGGGTCGCCAGGTTCAAAGCGCAGTGGGCTAACCACTACACTACCGCTCCCCATTACTACACACACTAACAATGTCATCCATATTCTTAGGTTTTTTCGGTAAAGTCACGTAGGTAAAAAATTAATAAAAGTAAAATAAAATAAAAATCACGACGTTTCGGAGGCAACGATTGCTGTATCAGCTATCGTGCTGTATCAGCTATCGTGCTGTGACGGTTCCACCTGAAGACGGAAGCTTGTGTTGCCTTCGAAACGTCGTGATTTTTATTTTATTTAAAAAAAATTTATTTTAATTTTTTACCTACGTGACTTTACCGAAAAAAAACCTAAGAATATGAATTCTTGCAGTCACGAAAGCTTCAAATCTAGAATGTCATCCATACTAGAGGTTTTGGGTTAGATCGCGTAAATATAAATGTCGTTAAAACTCGATACCACTCGACACAGCCAACGAGTAAGGGTTGTCACGTAAACAGAACGTGTTTACATGACGTAGCCATATGCGTCCTCTTTTCGCTGTGTAAGGATTTGGTGACTCGCTGACCTCAGCGTGTTTTTTTCCGTGCACCGTGTTTATCTCACGCGGGGTACAGCTCCCCACTTGCTTCTCCCTGCTCAGCAGAGCGACCCAACCCGACCTGGACCAGAGCGAGAAGAGAGTAACATCTTCCAGAGAACTCCACCACTCACACACTGACAATGTCACTTATACCACTACACTACTAATATCTCTCTACACACACTGTTACACTCACTGACAATGTCACTTATACCACTCCACCACTACTATTATCTCTCTACACACAGTTACACTCACACACTGACAATGTCACTTATACCACTACACCACTACTATTATCTCTCTACACACACTGTCAGACTCACACACTAACAATGTCACTTATACCACTACACCACTACTATTATCTCTCTACTCACATTGTCACAATCACAACACCTCTGCCACTGTGTGACTCCTGTGAGGCTGATCACACATCAGCAGAACCTGCAGGGCGCGTGGTGCTGGGGTAGAGTGTGGGCACCCCCACCACTCACAACCACGCCTCTGTGTGCGTGGGGTGTGAAGTTTGACCATACTTCACCACGCCGGTCAGTGCGGCGTTGTGCGGCGTCTCGAAACGGGACACTTAGAAACCAAAACGGCGCCAGCTGCAGTGACGGCCACAAACACAACCACAGTGTGGACGACTGATAACTCCTAGCGGTGTCACGTGCAGCGCTGGAGTCAACACGCGGCCGGTTTGATCCGCACCTGCCAGCGGGTGGGGGTGTGTGGGGGTGTGGGGGTGTAGAGGTGCTAACAGATCGTTGGGGCGGATGCCGTAAGCGAGCAGCACCTTTGAAGGCCGGGACTCACACGGGGGTGGCGGATCTAACTTATCTGGCTACATTGCACGCACAGCTCACAGCGGAAAATCAAAGCTCGAGATTGCGTGTGGTGGGCCTTGTTGTCTGCGTGTATTCCTCGGGTCGCGTGAACGTGGAACGCATCGCGGATTGATAGCGGACGGTGCGATGGGCGGAGCTTGCCTCGTTGCGGCCAATGGGGTCGCTCGATGCCAACCGTGACGTCATCGTGCCACCTCTAGAAAGACGCGTGACAGGAAGAGAGACAGAGACACGGGACAAGGAGAGAGACAGAAACACGGGACAGGTTGGGGGTGAGTACTCATCAAAATCACAACCTGTATTGATCTTGCACACAAAGTGTTAATAGATCCGTCTTGAAGGTGTTCATGGCATCGTGATAATATTTGCTGTTTTATATTCTTCATATCTGTTCGAAAACATTTACAACACGTTTGAATAACGTATTTAATGTATCCTCAATAATCGACAATATATTAAACTAAAGTGAATATGACAGAAATGTAAACAACTATTTTTATTTTTTATGCAGGGTGTTTTAAAAAATGAACCCAATTTCAATGTATACTGTTGTGAAATCGGGTCCATATTTTTACAACACCCTGCACTTTGATACTGGCAAAAACGTCCCATGGTGAATTACATAATTTTCCAAAGTAAAAAATCTCACGTTTGTTGCACTTATGGTTGTTAATCGAGGACACATGAAATCAACAGGTTCAAACTTAATTTGGAGCTTTCGTGACTGCAGGAATTACTCTTTGGTTCTTTCGGTAAAGTCACGTATAAAGATAAAATAATAAATTAAATACTAGCATACGACGTTTCGATTGCAACACAAGCAATTATCATCAGGTTGATGATTGCTTGTGTTGCAATCATCATCAGGTTTATGATTGCTTGTGTTGCAATCATCATCAGGTTGATGATTGCTTGTGTTGCAATCGAAACGTCGTATGCTAGTATTTAATTTATTATTTTATCTTTATACGTGACTTTATCGAAAGAACCAAAGAGTAAATAAACAGGTGTTTAACATCTTCAGTTATGAAACCTAAACAAGTACAGTGAGGGAAACAAAGTATTTGATCCCCTGCTGATTTTGTAGGTTTGCCCACTGACAAAAAAATGATCAATCTATAATTATAATGGTAGGTTTATTTGAACAGTGAGAGACAGAATAACAACAACAAAATCCAGAAAAACGCATGTCAAAAATGTTATAAATTGATTGGCATTTTAATGAGGGAAATAAGTATTTGACCCTCTCTCAATCAGAAAGATTTCTGAGGGAAATAAGTATTTGACCCCCTCTCAATCAGAAAGATTTCTGGCTCCTAAATTATAGACTGATGATTTCTTTGTCAGTGGGCAAACGTACAAAATCAGCATGGGATCAAATACTTTTTTCCCTCACTGTAGCACAAACAAGCAGAACATACGCCTTCATCTGCGACAAAGAGCTTCATAGCTCATCGGATTCTTCCCGTATAAATAAGGATTCTAATTGTTAGCATGTCCTTCACATGAACAGTAACTCTCTCTGCGTCACGTGATGTGTGGGCTCCGTGCCTCCTATGAGCCGTGAATGTTGAAACCGCTCCAGAATTTCCTTCCATTGAGCCCCTGCCGCTGAGATGATTCACTCCCAGAAGGTCGTGTGGCTGATGGGATGAGTCAACATATTTGTGTACTTTCACATGGAGGGACAGATATACGAAGGCGCTTGTTACGTGTTACTTGTATTCTCTGAAACAAACTAAACTCTTTTTATTTGACCAGATAAGACCCCACTGAGCTATGTATAGGAATACGTTGCACTTTTGTCTGGTTAGGGACCAGAGCATGGACGAATGTTAAAAATGGACGAATCTCAAAGCAGAAGCTTTATTTAGCTTGCAAATGTATTTTGGCCGGCGAAAAACGTACATGCAAATAACTACAGTCAATAAAAAAACGTACATGCAAATGACTACAGTCAATAAAAAAAACGTACATGCAAATGACTACAGTCAATATAAAAACGTACATGCAAATAACTACAGTAACTATATAAATTGAGAACCTTATGGATTTATTGCTGCTCTACCAAACCGTTATTGGAATGCATTCCGGGTCACCATGCCCCACTTTAACCGCTGGTGGTGAGTGGAGCGAGAGATGTGATGAGCCACTCTCTTCTGTGTTCATCAGGAGACGGAGGCACCATGAAGTGGCTCCTGGTCGCAGCGTTCATCTCCCTCCTGCGTGAGTTCACACCGAGAAGCACTCACCCAGCACACGTAGAACGGTCTCCTTCAGACCCCTTTCCTACCGGCACAGCCGAGCCGTGCCAGCCCAGAGCCCTGACGGTCCTGGTGGTTTTCCACTGCAGTTTGCTGCACCGAGCCAGAACCACACCGCCCTGGCCTCATAAGACATCGGAATTTCGCCCAGGGCCAAGCAGGGCCAGGTGCAACATTTATCATTTTCAACATAGATGCGACTCGTTCACGGCACGGCTCAGCCCCTGCAGTGGAAAAACAGCCTGGCCCCCTCCTGAGCTGTGCCGCATCGGCTTGGTACAGTCCCAGCATGGCTCAGGTGTGCAGTGGAAAAGAAGTGATGTGTAACCAGCTGAGAGCCCAATGGAGGTCGTCGTCACGATGAGGTCATGGTGATGGGATCCCAGTGCCAGGGCCCCCGTGTAGCCATGAGCGTCGGTGCCTCCCGTGGTCGTGCTGCGCTGAGACGCGTCCCTCACTCTGCCTGTGTGAGCACTGATGGTGAGGGAGGCAGTCGCGCTCACTCACCAGGTGAGCGGTCTTCCTCTCAAACAGCTGATGCTGAACAAAGCTCATTGTATGTCCGTGCCTTTCAATGAGCTGCTCGTTTTATCCACTGATGCTGGATCAGTATAAATGTGAATGTTACAGCACCACTGTAACGTCTCCATCTAGACCCCCCTCCATATCTCTGCTATTGCTGAGCGGACCTCTGGTGAGCATTTAACAATGGTGGCCGGTCTCTCTCTAAGTAGATATCTGTGTAGTGTGGGTTTTACGAGAGTGGAGACAAACGGTCAGAGGCAACACGTTTATTCACAACTCGCAGGAAGTACCTGGCATTGCCCGGGTCTTAAAAATATTTCAAAACTACTCTAAAAAATGTAACAGCAGTGCGTACTGACTGTGGAGGTGCCTGCTATGATGACAGCAGTGCATACTGTGGTGGTACCTGCTATGATTACAGCAGTACATACCCTTCCAGGGAGTTCCAATGGGGGGTCCCGGGGGACACCAGCACACTCCGCAGCCCCACTTGCCTCGGAGCTGGGGAATCTAGCGGCCCCTATCCCGGTCCGAGGTATTGCCCCTGGTGGACCCCGTCTGCAACTGCAGGTAAGTAGCGTGACCCATTAAGTATATATATAGCCCTATTTACAGCGCTGCATCTGTATTGTCTACACAATGGGAGAGTATGGCTGATCTCTTTTTGAGATAACATCTCTAATCAGAGTGACCGGTCTCTCTCTCTGTGTAGCTGTGACGTCGGCTGTGAATCTGCAGCTCTCCCTGCCGGAGAGTGTGGATGTGACTGAGGGAGAGAGCGTGACTCTTCCATGCTCCTTCTCCCCACCGCCGACCAAGTCAAATGCCCTCCTCATCAAGTGGGTCATGATGCCCACACACTACTCGGAGAAGATGCCCAAATGGGATATCATCGAGGTGAGAATCTCCTTCAATTTTAAACCTGAATATGCAATGCACTACTCGATGTCTGCATCGACGTGTATCAGAGTAACAAATCGTTATTTGGGGGTTGGTTTTATTCCAGATTATGATTTTAAAACTTGCGTAATTATCCAAAAATGTCACACCGAGTCTCTAGACTGTCGTTTTTAGCAGGGTGCTGCCAATTGAGTTGATGAGAGTTTGGCTTCATGTGGGAGGGAACCGGCGAATCTGGAGAAACCCCACACACATAGGAGGGTGCAATACTCAAAACTATGCACAGTCAGAGTTCTACAAATCCATAGCTAGAACCACTCTAACGCTGTCTGCAAACCAAATCCATTGCTGAACTGCCATCTGGCCACCGTACAAACCAAGCCTACAACCCCTGACATTCCCAGACAGTCAAAGTATTGAGCAGGCTCAAATCCTGCTTGGTGACCAAGATCCAGCGAGTTTGGGGACATTCGGAATGATTTGGAGGATTGTGGTTTGTGACGTTTCAGATCTACGACTCACATTCTGGAAATTCGAGGCCCGGAGTGGCTGAGTTTGTGGGAGACGAGAAGGGTGACTGCTCCTTCAGGATCCTCAACGTTTCCAGGACCCTCGGCCCCGTGTTTAAGTGCCACGTCTACTGTTACCGCTGTGGGACAGATGACTGGAAGGTGTTTGGAGAGGTGAAGCTGAACGTGACGGCTGCAGGTAAATGAGAGGGGAGCGTCGTGCTCACCACATGGGTGGTGCTGTGACTCGCACCATCGCTTGTACAGCTGGTGGTGGGTGGGAGGTCAAGTGTCAGAGATCACAGGGTGGAGGGTGCAGAGCTGGAGAGCGGTCGTTGTACAGAGAAGAGTCTCAGCAGAGAGTCTCAGCAGAGACTCTTCTGCACGTGAAGCCGTGTTGAGTCGCTGAGTGAGGCGGTGGTGCTGGGTGTGAGTGGGGGTCTCGTTGAGTCCCTCTCTGTCTCAGTCTTTGGTTCTTGACAACATCGTCCGTGTCTCTGCAGCTCCACGGTCACGCGGGGAGACCTCACCGACACCACGTGTCCACTCCTGGTGGGAGACGGTGAAGCCGGTGGCGGCGGTGGTGACGGTGGCAACGGAGGCGACGGTGGTGACGGTGGTGACGGTGGTGATTATGGTGGTGGGCGTGATCTTGACACCTGTGGCTGTCATCCTCTTCATCAAGTTTCACCCTTGGTCGTCTTGGAGCTTCCCCCGCTCATACAGGTGCCTCCACTCCCCCTAGCCCAGTATCCTTCCAGCCCAGCTCCTCACGAATGAACGTGAACATCAAGCTGGGTTGGGTTTTCAGATGCACTGAGTCGGCGCCACTGAGACCCTGGGGTCGTTTCCCGTGAACTGTGCCCAGGTGTTGCTGGGTGCAGGCACCGTGCGGTTTGTAAACTTGTGTTTTATATTTCAGTGGCGATGGGAAAGCAGACATGAACGGTGGTGTGGAGGAGAATGGGCATCCACTGATGATGGTGAATGGACACAAGGGGGACAACGGAGACAAAGGCACGGACGCCGTTTGAAGAAATCTTATGTGGGCTCCCCCGTGACCACCCTGGCCGTCACGTGGAGCCGCTCTTACCCACAGTGCAATGCTGGAGTGCAGTGCTGACTGCCTGTGTTTAATGTTGTCTCAGCCATAGGCTGGAACAGTTCTGTTGGTCAAGTGACTGATGTTTCTTGCTTTTTCTGAAGTTTTGAAGAGTGAGCAAGGCGAGCAGGCCACTGTTGTGTATATTGTGTTTAAAAATAAATGGATGTTATTTTATGAAATTATGCAAATTTATGAATGTATGCAAATGTGTGCAATTGTGCTAATTAGGCTCGATTAATAGTTTGTATTATGATCAATAGGTGTGTGTGTGTAGTTAAGTGTATTATGATTCTTGGCTTGGTTTCGTTGTCTAGGGGTGTATTACCAATTGTGATAATACAATGATTTGGAAGATCAAAGAATCGCCCAACTGCGACTGTGGAGAAGTCCAAACCATCAAGCACATCACCGATGAATGCTCCATCCATGCCCATCCTGGCAGTATCACTAAAATCCACACCGCGTCAACCACATCATTGGACTGGAAGAGGAACCGTTGCATTCATTTATGACGATCATTAAGTAAAAATAAAAACTGGTGCTTTTCACAATGCCATACGAAAGAAGAAGAATACAATGATTCTTGCATTAACTTTTACTGATTATGTTTTAGTGTAATTACGTCCGGTCTCAGGATTCAGATCTCGCCGCAGAATATAATTAAGATCATTATGCATAAACTTAGGAAGGAACCACTCAGACTCTTCTGCGTTAAGCAACTTTAATATCTAAAAACACTCTAGATGTCCTACTCATCGATCCATACAATGAACCCTCAATGAATTTCGATTTAAAGCTTTCGTGACTGCAGGGATTCATCTTCTTGGTTCTTTCGGTAAAGTCACGTAGAAGGGAAATAATAAAATACAAAAAATTAAACATAATAAAATAATTCTCACGACGTTTCGGCCACAACGCAAGCAGCCGTCCTGCTTGCGTTGTCGCCGAAACGTGACTTTACCGAAAGAACCAAGAAGATGAACCCTCAATGGTTACATTTGTTAAAACTGAACAATAGAACAATATGCTAACTCTTCAGAGTAGCGCGACCGTACACAACGATAGTAAAAGTCCTTTAAAATGACAGTATTCATACGGAAAAGTGCTAAAGAAACATGTGCCCAATGGCAAAAGTAGACATCAATGAATTTGTAATAAAACGACTCGGACACTTCTTTCTGTCTTCGTGTCTTTATTTGGGTTCTCGTCTTTACCCACACGGCACTCTGTTATAACTCCTGTATTTGTAGCCCCCGGCTATTCACTGCTATTATAGCTTCTTCTTCCCTCCGACTCTCTGCTTCATCTACTCCCCTCCTTCCTGCAGACTCGCTGCTACCCTTATGCAGACTCCCGCTGCTACCCTTATGTGCAGACCCTCTGGCTGCTACTGTATGCAGACCCGCTGCCCACTCTCTCTCTGCAGCCCCGCTGCTGACTGCAGCCCTCCCTGCTGCCTCGGGTCGGTCACCGCTGGCCAACGGTGCCGATCCTCGTTCCTCCCCGTGTTCGTGGCGATCTCGCCACACCCCGCTTCGCCCTTCGTGGCCTTCCTCTGTTCCTGGTTCCCCGTCACTCCCCCTCCTCTTCCGGTTCCCCTCCTTCTATACTCAACCCCTCTCCCCCCACGTGACCTAACTCCTCCCCCCATGACGGCACCTCCGGAGGGCCGTTTACAACCGCATTACATCACCCTCCCCCATAAAGAAAATCCAGCCGACCTCGGCTGAATTGCAACCTGAAAAGCAATGCGGGTGTAAAGGGCCAACACGTAAAAAGACACGAAGCGTGCAAGAACAATATAACAATGAACGCAACACAACACAATCTAACGAAACGTGAGGGATTTCGAGCGAGTACGGGTAGCCGGGCCGTCCCGGACGGTCGGCAGCCCACCCGCCGAGCGGGAACGTGGAAGGGTTTTAGGGGCGACGGGCACAAGTTCTTCCGTCGCCATTGGAGGCCCTCCACTGTCCCGCTCGCGTCCAGAGACATCCCGTACTCGCGTCCGCGGAGGGATAGGAAGAGCTGCAGGTCCCGTGGGTTCTGCGGCTCCGGTCGGCGTCCCACAAGCGGAAGGTCCTCCTCCCTGCGCTGTCACGGCCAGCTTGTCTGTGAAGGGTACGACAGGCGCTCTCGCAAGGTCAGCAGACACAGGCAAGGGCGAGTCGGCAGCAACAGACCCCGGCAAGGCAACTTCGGGAGATGACGCATCCGGCCGCGGGGCAATGTATGGCTTCAACCGGGATGTATGCACGAACCAGCGCCGTGCACCAACCTGAACACGCGCCAACTGTGGGTTGGGAACCTCAATGAGGCGGACCGGACCCTGCCAAGGTCTATGTAATTTAGGAGATGTACCTGGCCGCACCTGTGGGCAATGAAGCCAGGCCAGGTCCCCCTTTTTCCAGGGGCACTCCCCCTTTGAACGTCGGGCACACCGCTCATTCCTGGCCTGAGCCTTAGCAGTAGCCATGCGGGCACTTTCCCTCGCCTCAGCGACACGCCGAACGTTGTCCTTAATATACTCAGGAAGAGGCTTAACAGGCCCCCTCGCGCCGGTTCCCAACTGTTCATTAATCGGCGGCACATTCTCACGGCCGTACATAAGGAAGAACGGCGAGTATCCAGTAGCCGCGTGCGGCGTCATGCGATACGCCGAAAGCACCCCAGGGATATGCAAATCCCAATCAGATTGATTTTCCCCGACTGTATGGCACAGCATGGCGGACAGAGTCCGATTCAACCGTTCCACCATACCATCCGTTTGCGGGTGGTAGGGGGACGTCCGTATCTTTTTAGTTCCAAGAGCCGCACACACCTCCCCCAACAATTTTGACGAAAAGTTACGTCCCTGATCCGTAAGGAGCCTCTCCGGAGCCCCTTTGTCCATTACATACCCAAATAGAAAGGCGTCCGTGATAGACGCCGCTGACTGGTCAGGCAAGGGCCAGGCCATCGGCCAGCGAGAGAGGTACTCCACCCCCACCAGTAAATACTTATTCCCCTTAGCTGATGGCAAAAAGGGTCCCAAAATATCTAACGCCACCAGCTCATTAACCCGAGATACTTTAATCGATTGTATCGGCGGAACATATGGATGTTTAGGCGGTTTACGGCGGGCACAATCGGGGCACGCGCGAACGTGACCGACGACATCCGTCGTCATGCCGTGCCAATAATAGTCTCGTTGCAGCGTCAATAGGGTTTTCTGCACCCCCAGGTGTAAAAGTGTGTCACAGTGCAAAGATCTGATCAACTCATAGCGCAATGACGCAGGCACAACGAGACGCCAGTGTTCCTGTATCCCTTCCCTCCACATCAGTAACCCATCTCGGAGAGCAGTTTCCGAAATACCACCCGCACCGACTTCCTTACCCGCCTTCTCCGTTCGTTTTCGTAACGACACCAAAGAATCGTCCAACATTTGCTCCCGAATCCACACAGACCTTGGAAGACGCAAAATCCCGTCAGCCGGTCCCCCATCAACCGGTCCCGGTGTAAGCGGAGTTTCGAGAACATCCACTGCCAGCGCGACAGGCTGAGGGGGGGGCTGAGTCGGTCCACACCTATGCGTCACCGACGCACACGCACAAGGGGATTGTTGCGGCAACCTGGACAGTGCGTCCGCGTTAGCGTGACGCACACCCTTCCGATGGTGAATTTGGAAGGAGAATTCTTGCAACGTGTCCAGCCATCTCGCCAATTGTCCGGATGGCTGGTCCATCTTAAGAGCGTACTGCAAGGCCGCATGGTCCGTTCGGACAATAAACGACCGACCGTACAGATACGGTCGAAATTGGCGGAGCAAAAACACAATAGCCAAAAGTTCCCTGCGAGTGACGCAGTAACGGGTTTCCGCGGGAGACAAAACCCGACTCCCATACGCCACCACACGCTCAACACCACCTTTTGACTGGGACAACACCGCCCCAATACCGGTGTCACTCGCATCAGTATCCAGAATGAAGGGATGTTCAAAATCCGGATAATCCAACGTCGGCGCGGTAGCCAGTAGATCGCGCAGGCTCCGAAACGCCGCCTCCTCCGGCGGTCCCCACACAAATTTATGCCCCTTCCCAGTAAGGAGATGCAAAGGCCTGGCGATAGTAGCGAAATTCGGAACAAACCTCCGGTAATATGAGGCGAACCCCAAAAACCGACGCACATCACCCACCGTGGCGGGGGTTGCCCAATCCCGGACACACGCAGTTTTCTCTAGATCCGTGGCCACCCCGTCCGCACTAACAATATGTCCCAAGTATCGAACAGAGCGTTGCAGTAGATGACATTTCTTAGGCTTGAATTTCAAATTAGCAGAACGCATTCTGGCAAATACAGCCTCCAACCGCAATAAATGCTCATCAAATGTGCGGCTGAAGACAATAATATCATCTAAATAAATGAGACATGTCTCCCACTGCAACCCCGTCAATACCAACTCCATCAATCTCTGAAAGGTGGCAGGGGCTGCATTCAACCCCATCGGCAGACAGTTAAATTAGAACAACCCCTGCGGCGTACGGAAAGCTGTCTTTTCCCGCGAGGGCTCGTCAAGGGGAAGCTGCCAGAAGCCCGAAGAGAGATCTAGCGTTGAAAAAAACTTAGCCCCTGACAAGGCGTCGAGAGAATCGTCCATACGCGGCAGGGGATACGCATCTGCCACCGACACTTTATTCAACTTCCGAAAATCCACACAAAATCGTAATTTACCATCCTTTTTTTTAACCAACACAACAGGCGCGCCCCACGGGCTATTAGACGGAGATATAATATCCGCTTTCAACATGTCTTCCACTGCCCCTCGAATGTGCTCACGCTCAGCCGGACTCATCCGACGCGAGTTCAAGCGGATAGGGGCAGCGTCCCCCGTGTCGATATGATGAGAGAGCAGCGAGGTGCGTCCCAAGTCCAAATCGTCCGAGCTAAACACATCGGAATAGCTCGATAATAATTTATTAATCGCACAACGCTGCTCGGCGGAAAGGGCCGAATTTTCCGCACATAGTTCGGCGATCCAACGATCATCCACCCCTCCGTCGTGTGAAACACCACCCACCAGCCCCCCGTCCGGAATGTCACTCTGAGCCGTAAACGCCGTAGTGGCATGTGCCACAACGGTACCAGCCGGCACACACACGCTTTCAGTACTCGCATTTAACACCTGCAAAAACGGGCGCTGATCCGGACGGACAATGGTTTGCGCCCCCACCAGTGCCAATCCGCCCGTAACAGCGGCGGACGGCGACAGCAAAATTCCAAAAGCACCCTGCCGACCCGGAACCGGCTTCCGGTATCGTAGGGGAATGAGCATCTGCGAGCCAGGTGGAATATCAACCGAAACTTCCGATAACGCCTGCACCTGGGCAACCGGAGCCGGTCGCCCCCAGGTGGACTGTAAAAACGCCAATTTGCGGCCCCCTGGTAGTTCAATGCAATTTTCATTGATTCTAATTAGAATGGGCATCTTAGCCAAAAAATCCGTACCCAACAAGCAAGGAACCGCCAGGGACCTCGAAATTAACACAACGCCCGAGGCCGAGACCCCCCCGATTGAAATATTAGCGTCCACCTGTCCCACGATGCCCATACTACCCCCGTTCGCAGCGATGCAGGAAGCGTAAGCCGGCCTCACGGCCCCCGGTGGGATGTTCAAAAGATGGAATATCACATCCGAAATAATGGTCGCGGACGCCCCGGAATCCACCAAAATACGTACGTCTACCCCTTGGATCGACCCCGGTACAGTGGACGAACCGGTAGCGGCCGCGACAACCCGCCGAGCCAGCTTACGCCACTGCGTTATCGAGCGACAAGGCGCAGATACTGGCCTCCCATATTTTACAACATCCGCGTCGCACAACAACGGCGATGAGTGAGGTGTCAGGCCTTGCCGGGTGTCTGGTGCGCACCGACTTGCCTGTGCCGGAGGGTCTTTCTTTGGGGCGTCCGCTGTCGAGGCCTCCTGCTGGGGCGGCCCCGGAACCCGGGCCCAGCAGTCCCTGGCATAGTGGCCCCGACGGCCGCAGCGGAAGCAGTCGACGTCGGGTCGGCGCGCAGCGGGCACCCCGTCCCGACGCGGCCGCGCCGGCGGCGGAGCCCGCGGCCCTGGCCCGCTTCGAGCCGGCCACGGAGTGGAGG